GGGTAAACGAGGTGTATAGTGGGCAAAGTGAAAATGTTGAATTAAAAATCATTGAAATAGGCCATTAATAATTTTTGCACTAAGACGTCATGTGACATCATTTTTATGAAAATGAAAGTTTTATGATTTTGCCGTCAAAAAACCATTAGTGGGTCATTTCTTCAACAAAATAATAGTGATTTAGTTTTTCAAACTCGCACTATTTTCTTAAAATGTGTATGTTCGTAGCTGGTCACGTGACCAAAATGTGATTTTTAAAACTACAAATTACCTCTTTCTGAACACAAATTTTGCACTTAAACTTTAAGGAAATTGTTGAAAAGATAATGGGTAACGTTTACAGCACATCCGAGTGTAACTATCAAACGTTTAACAAGTGACAAGCAAAAAGAAGTTTTCGCTGCGGGCAATACAAATCATACTACTTTGTTGAAAAATCAAAGTGCCATAAAATATCTCCCTTAAATGCGTTTTCTCTCAAATTTCGGGTGAAAGATAATTTTTGTTTTCTCTGTCAATTTTTGTCATCAACAGGATTCCAAGTCATTATTTAAAGGAAGCATTGGTCTCGTGACCTCTAGTGCAAGTGGCGTATAGCCTGCGATCACACCCTCCCTTTAACTCTTCTCAAAAGCTAAGGTAAAAAAAACAATGCATGATTGCAGTTCCCTAGTTAATGAGAACATTGTTTTCCTTCTCCTACTAAAGGCAAGACTATCATTTCTACTGGGTCATCTGAGCCAAGCAAAGGTTAAGCTGCTTGTGGCGAAAAAATGGCAGTACCTAGTTAATTTCTCAGTTATTTCACAATCGGAGTGCTGTCCAGCCCCTGGGAGTTGAACACGTGACCTGCTGCACTCTGGAGATAACCAAGCTATCCCTGTAGAAGAAGAACTTCTGGTCTCCCCTAGAGCTGAAGCAATTATTGCACAAATGGACCAACACAGCAAAACCAGAAACAGAAGCAAATATAAAAACCAAGAAAACCACTCTAATCACTTTCTTACTAACAATCAAAACTGAATGTAAAGATAGTAATCGGCTCCTGGAAAAACTAACAATTACTTAGGGCACTAAACCATAAAAATATTAAAGAGCAGAAACCAAAAACGAAAATCTCAAATTTGGCTTAGACCACAAACTGAAAATCCCAAATACCCCGCAACCTCCAAGGAACAGAGGAAAGGTACAAAATTGCTCTCAGAAGGTGAACCTAAATCAAGCTTTAAATGAAAAACAACGTACATTATTTGAAAATTTACGCTTAAACCAAACTCTCAAGCCATAAAAAATAACGAAACTAGCAGACTGCAAAACTGAGGCTGTGAAGCCATATTACGGTTGCTCTCTGAATATAGCTATCGGTGAATGTTTTTAACGCTTTGGATTTTCATGTAACAACCTGACTGTCATCAAACAGCTTTAAGAAAATGCAAAGCTCAAAATTGATAGCATCAGAGAGAGAACNACGTGACCTGCTGCACTCTGGAGATAACCAAGCTATCCCTGAAGAAGAACTTGCAGTCTCCCCTAGAACTGAAGCAATTATTGTACCTTTGCACAAATGGACCGACACAGCAAAACCACAAACAGAAGCAAATATAAAAACCAAGAAAACCACTCTAATCACTTTCTTACTAATAATCAAAACTGAATGTAAAGGTAGTAATCGACTCCTGGAAAAACTAACAATTACTTAGGGCACTAAACCATAAAAATATTAAAGAGCAGAAACCAAAAACGAAAATCTCAAATTTGGCTTAGACCACAAACTGAAAATCCCAATGCCCCCCGCAACCGCCAAGGAACAGAGGAAAGGTACAAAATTGCTCTTAGAAGGTGAACCTAAATCAAGCTTTAAATGAAAAGTAACATTATTTGAAAATTTACGCTTAAACCAAACCCTCAAGCCTTAAAAAATAACAAAACGAGCAGACTGCAAAACTGAGGCTGTGAAGCCATAATACGGTTGCTCACTGAATATAGCTATCGGTGAATGTTTTTAACGCTTTGGATTTTCATGTAACAACCTGACTGTCATCAAACAGCTTTAAGAAAATGCAAAGCTCAAAATTGATAGCATCAGAGAGAGAACTGTTAAATTTAAAGACAAGACTACTTTTTTTGTTATAAATTGGGAGAACAAACACATATATCAAACTGGCTTCTTGGAAACCATGGTAATGTTTAAGAAGGGCTCTCAGACCACTTTAGACTGTGATTTCTCGCTTTCTTCTATCATGTACTTCAATGTCTTTTGATGAGTTTTGTAGCACCCAGAACAATATCCCTTATTTTGAGGACTACCAAAGAATGGACAGTTGTCAGTAATACACCTCACCGGGGTGCTAGAGCTCTCACTCTGTGCTGTACTATGACCAGATGTGCTAGAGGGTAAATTCAAGGCCGTGGTTTTACTCAGTTTCATAACTTCCTCATATGAAGGCAGCTCTTTTCCTGTCTCTTTACTTGAATGAGAAGTTCCAGAAGGAAGCGATACATGGGTCGGCTGCTGTGCTCTAACAGTATTCTTTTGCTCGATATTAGAACCTTGTGTTCTGGAGTAGTCACCAAAATAGCCATAAGGAACATATGCAGAGTATGACGGAGGCGGCAAATAACTTTGCACACCACTATTATCATAATTTGTTTGCGGTTCCCTTCCACTGAATGATCCTGCACCAACAAGATAGCGACCAGTTTCACTGTAAGATTTCTGAGTCTTGTAACAGCCTGAACAAAGGTAATTTGTTGCTGAAGTTCCATACAACTGACAACCTGGGTTAATACAGGGTTGAGGCTTCTCACCAGAACTACCTGCACCTTTCGTTGCCTTAGTTTGAACCTTCTTTTCTTCTTCAAACCGCTCTTTGGCCGACTCAATATAGTTTTCAATCATCTTTTCATAGTACTCTGGTTTCTTGTCAGTTTGAAGCCTTGCCACATAAATATTACTGTGCACAACACCACCTACCATCCCAGCCATTGTCCCTACTTTCATAATCTGTGTAGCAATCCAGGATTTTTCCTTCTTCTCTGCAGATTTTATGGGTGATTTGCTACCAGGCTTGTTTGCTGCATCACTGCTCACTTCGGATTTCTCACCCTTTGTAGCTGTCTTCTTATCTTCTGGATTGTCTTTCTTGCCTGTATTAGGTAGTTTCACATTCTCCACATTTAGGTATTTCTTCAAAAGCTCCAACTTCTTATTCATACTAAGCTCCAACTCTTCTGGAATGGTGGCTTTATCATCCAAACTACTCCACAAGAAATCTTCTCCAGGGTCAACAGCAAATTTAAGTGACAGTAAGTCATAACTTGGTCCAACAAGTGGCACAGCAGCTTTCAAAGAACTAGTTTTACCCCCATTTTTTTCATCAGAGGGAACCAAAGGAGAAAAGTGTGCAGATTCAAAAGCCAGCACCAAGGGGCTCTTAAGACAAGAGGGAGGGTCACATTCTAGAGGGAGATACACTCCTCCAAATGGAATGGGTGCAATTGGTTCACCTCCAAATCCATACAAAAACTGATCAGCTATGATGATAATTGGTCGTCGCAGAACATGAGCAAGCACAAACACATGAATGTCTTCCAGGCTTTCAAAAGCTCCTCTTCCCTCTTCATCAACCTCCTTATCTGACAGCTTCTCATGCTCAGTTGATTTTCCATTACCTTTATCACAATCTTTGGTATCATTCTGCTGGCAATCTGCAGGTGAATGACTAGATTCCTCTTTTACAGGAACATCAGATGCTTCACTTTCAACATATTTTTCTAAAATGGAGGCAAGAGTTGAAATGTTCTCTCCTTCTTTATTTTTCTCTGTAGTTATGTGCTCATGATCCCGCCGCTGAGTAGATGCAATGCGCAACACCTCCAACCATTCTTTCTCCCACTCTTCTTCAGAGTAAAGTAGCCCTCCAGCTTTGATGTTTTTCTGCCACTGCTCCAGTCTCCAGCGTCGCTTGATAGCTCCTTTGGCTAAGTGGCTTGTGAGAGTACAGTACAAAGCTTTGCGCAGAGTTAATAAACGATCGTGGAAACCCCACATACCAAGAGAAGCCGCATGCAACAAGCAGTTACCATCACCCACAGTTGCTAGGGGAACAAGACGTCGACACACACCTGCATCGGCCCACCAGTTTAAATGACCTAGAAACCAGAAAAAACACTCTTAAGAATAATATTATACACAAGGTTGTGCTATAATAGCAATAATATTGTAGGGAGCCCATCAGGGTGCTAGTCACCCACCAAGCTCTGCTTGATCCCTGCTGAAGAGAAAAGGAAAGTAGTTATGAACAGTAAGCACAAATTTACAATGACTGGTAACAAACCGTAATATTCTGAAAATAAGCCCCGGGCTTACATTTTTCAAAAGCCTTTTTTGAGGGGCTTATTTTTGGAGGGGCTGATCTATGGAGGGAAGTTTGCGTTCAAAAATCGATTGGGCTAGCCTCATAGTTCTAATTAAATTTACCATTTTTGCTTTGTTTTACTTTGTATTTGACGGCAATTTTCCAAGTACAAGTCCCCGGGGAATTTTCGAGGGGCGATTTAACAGAGGGTTTTTTGCATCACTGGTTTGGGGGGCTTATATTTGGAGGGGCTTATTTTCGGAATTTTACAGTATACAGGGATGTCGCTAAGAGCCACCTTCTAGATAATTTAACCAGCTGAAAAGAGCTTTAATATGACTGGCTCAGATTGAAATTGAGAAAAAAGCAACTATGCCTAGCGTTTCCATAGCTTCATCTCTGATGTACATGATTATATTTCTTTGTCTTACACAAGACATAGTTATACAACAGTAATTTGCAACATATTTTTTCTACAAAAATGATGGACCTGCCACCCTCTTATCTTATACGTTGTTTGTAATATCATTAGATTATAGATTCTTATTGACATTAGTTAGCTAAATTCAAATGACCCCACAAGCTCACGTAACTTTTAACAATACCCATTGTTTTTAAATAAGGGCTATCTATTACATTAGCTCTTGTTACCGGTAATTAGATAATATGTGGCTTGACACCAATCTGACAGTGCCTCTGGAGTTTCAAAAGATTCTTCATCTCTCCACTTATGTGACTCAGTTCCCCTCATATAGAGGGCCATAACCATTAAATTTGGAGAACTGCATAAATTTTACTCATAAAATTAGCTTACCCTAACAAACCCACAGTAGAAATTTGCACAAAGCAGAAAGCATTCGTTACAAAACAAACAGGCCTTCCTCTTAGGCCCTAACAGTTTTGCCAATCAAATACTACACATGACTTTGCACTACCTAGTTCTGTCTACTGGGAAGCTGATTTTACACTGGAACAAGTGGTTGTTCTTTGTTTACAAGATACTGTACAAGTTTTTGTCCCAGAATGAAATTCTTGCTCCAGTTTCACAAATTACCAGGATGAACTCACGCAAGTACAACTCATTGAACTATGACATTTTCCCAACACCTAAACAAATACAGAGAGCCCTAAAACCAGCCAGATGAACTCATTCCTGTACAAAAGGAGCACTACTCCTGTTTTCCCCTCCACTCAAAAACCAACATTTCCAAATTCCAATTCTACCAGGAATCAGGTAGACGAAGAACCACTTTGTGGATGTGCTACCTCCAAATCATTATTTATTTATTATTTATTTATTTATCCAGTGGATAGCATTATCCACCTTTCGAACAACCGGGTCCGGTGGCCACTTTATATTTTGAGTGGCCTTTGTAGAGTTAGAAAGATAGTTGTTGTAGAAAAGTTATATGTTATTTGAAAAAGAACCAAACAAACAACTAAAATTTACTTGCTAAAACAAAAAAAGTGGTAGCTTTGGTGGGGTGATCGTTAGTTGACAATTAAGAAATGCAGTTAAGGTGACTGAACTTCAATAAAAAAAAATGAAAAAAATGAAAACAAGAACAGTGCAGCATTATTACGGGCTTATAAATATTTTAAGCTTGGACAAAGATATACAAAAGCTTATTCGTCCTGAAATAGACAAAGCATAAATTCTTTCATTATCTTACCTGCTTGTTCGAGAGCGACAAGAACAGAGGTTTCAATTAAATCTCTTCTCAGGAAATCGCTCAAGTCCTCAGAGTAGTTAGACAAATCCGGCAGCACAAACGTGAAGTCGGACATTCCTTCGAACCCTTCATATCTCTCATCGGTTCCTGGTACTTTGTCTTCAATAACTTTATGTCTTGCTTCACCAACAATGTCTGCATTGACCATCGAAAGACCCCTTCCAGCTTTTCCACTCGGAAAAGGTTTGACGCGCTTCGGAACTTCATTGTGGCTGCTAGCAGACGATCCTAAAGACAGAGTTTCAAATGCACTCAACGCTTCCTCCACATTCCAGTTTGTGCTCTCAAGAAGGTCTCTCGCCAAGCTAGGATCTGTCCCAGTTTTTTCAATAAATTCACTTAAAGTATCGTCCATTGAGAAGGATAATTAAAGTGGAGTGAGTCACTGAAAATCATTCAAACTGTGAACAAAACCTCAGCCAGGGACTCGTAACTTATCCATCGCTACATACTGCGCGACCGCAGGCATTCTGGGGCCTGGGGCAAAAACTAGCTGGGAGGGGGTGGGGGGGGAGTCAGGGAGGGGTAGGGTAGGGTGGAATGCTAATGAAGTGCATGTTTCGTTTCTTCAAGAAACCAAGGTCCATAATTCTGTCTCTTGGTTTCTTGGAAAACAAAGCTAAAGTAGGATCTGATGCAGCAAAACTGATCGGTGACGATTCAATCTCTGACGTCGAGAATACTGCCTGGCATTTAAAATTAACCAAGGAACCAAATTTCGAACACTTCAAGCCCATGTTCATACTTGGCACGACTTCTGGAGAGCAGTATTTGAAATACAGTAATCGCCTTCCTCCAATAATCGCCTTGTCTCGAAAAATCGCCTCCTATTGGTGCGAAAATAATAATAATCGCCCCCGGCCATTATTCGAAGAAATACGGTAAGGGACTGTGCAATAATTATCAGGAGAGGGTGGGGGGTTTGGGGGGCTGAAAAACTAGAGTTATCTAGCAAAAACTTAGACAGTACCCCCCCTCCAAAACAAAAAAAATTAGTTCTAACCCCCCCTCTGGTATGTTAAAAATAACGTCGCCTCCCCTCCCCCACCCAAGATATAGACGGGGTGCTTACCACGTGGGCTCAAAATCTAAAACTTCTGAAGCCAGAAAGAGAAAGGAGCAGAGAAAAACCTCAACAAGAAAGACTGAAAAATCCAAGTCACTTATAGACGTTGCTTTGACAACGAAAGAGAATATTATTTATGCTTGTGATGTGATGCAGTCTGCAATCATTGATCACAGTTTAATGAGCTTAACACTCAAATTAAAGACACCGAGACCGAGGATTTCGTTTGTGACCACGAGAAGTTACAAAAAACTATGACCATGATAGTTTTATTGAGGATCTGGC